TACCAACGACTCATTGAATCGATAGTCAATAACAAAATTTATAAAGTAATAAATATGAGAAGTCATGAAATAGCAATAATGAAATGCTTCATAATTTTCTACTATGTAAGCCACCAAGGTCTTGATTGCGTATGCGAAATGGAGAGGGGTAACTGGTCGACATTATAACCTAAGATGCGGCCGCCGTGATTGTAGATTTAATTATAATTTTTCATTAAAAAGTTTGCACGTTTTCTTTCATAACTTAATTTCTAACCATCCGATTTTGATGATTTTTGGTAATATTATTATTTGCACAAAATGTTGAGATTTTTCCAATTTACAAGGTATTAATTGATTCAGTAAATAGTTAGGTTCAGAAAAAAAATCACCAAAACATACACTGCTTAAATGGGCAACTCTTGTTTTGAGATAATATTATACACTGTTGCGCTGCCGCTATATATTTTCTTTACTTGGCTCGCGCCACGACCGTACTGATGCTAGATAAGCAGGAGTAGACCATTTACTTGAAATGTTTAAATAAAATTACAAAAAAAAAAAACTTGATTTATAAATAAATAATCAAACTAAAGCAATATTTTCAAACATTTATTATTTTTCAATGCTATAAAAAAGTATTGAATACAAATTTTAATTTTATCTAGATGAGATAATTATCTATCAATATTCATTAAACATTTAAATATAGGCTTTTATTTTTTATAATCTATAGTTAATAACATTTTATCAAAATTATACCACTAAGATTCGTAACAATCAAATTTATCCACGCTTCTGATATCTTTTACTGCAATCTAAGTGTGAATGTCAAATTTTACTAATGGAGGTACCTATTAAAAAAAAAAAATCTGGTTTATTTAGCACTACCTGGTGGATAAATGTGTAACCCGTTCACCGCCTAAACGGCACTCGAAAACATTTTCTCCTGCGATCAATTAACCGACACTGAGTAGCGACTACGCGGGTTTCGTGTACATGGACTGATATTATCATCACACTGCGCAGCGTACCGCGCAAGTGACATTGGCTGCGCAAGTGACGTTGGCTGCACTTCGCTACGCGTATTGCGCGATAGCCGCCAACCCGTGATACCATTAAGTGCGCAGTTAGTATTTAATAGCAACGTAAACCAAGTGAGGTTACATGTTCTACAGGTTTCTCCTACGTATACCGCAGTTATCTGAGAGACATTGCTCTGAATGTTGCCGTTAAACCATAATTCGTTTATAGTTGTCGATAGTGCAATTCGCGCCGTGTGCTCGCCGACACCGATAACCACCGTGTTTGCGCGTTAACCGCTTCCGGATCAACCATCTTGTAAAACGTTATCGCATCGCGTTTCCGATCTATCGATTAACAAACTTGCGATCTGGTTGCCGCCGTTCAGTCATAAGAATTAACGTCGGACAGTTCGAGTTACGAGCCGTTTTTTTTTTTGTTTTTTTTTTTTAAGGTGAGTGAGATGATTTTTTTTTTTAACTACGAGTATATATACATATACTATATTATTGTAATTATTTTATTTATATTTTACACGTCGATAATCATTTTTGATGCCTACTACTAAGGCTTAACTCTTTTTAATCCCGTAAATACTAATTATACTTATCGAATATTAAAAGAATATAACCTATATGATACAGTCCTGTGTCCATTATGATTATTATAATCAAAAATAAATAACGACTGAGGTATGATGACGTAGTGCGTCCTGTACAACCTGATTTTTCGTAAGTTAAGTTTGATTAGATTATTGTAATTACCAATAGACTCAGTGACTCATTCGCGGAAACGATGCGTAAGCAGTCTCCGCGGCGTCGCCAGTTCAAAAGGGGGAAAAATTACCAATAGACTATAATTATTATTATTGATTTGCACACACCTAATACCATAGGGCAGGGGTGGGCAACTGGCGGCCCGCGGGCCGCATCCGGCCCGCGAGCCTTTTTTATCTGGCCCGCGCTACATTTTCAAATTGCATTAGGTATAGGTATACAATTTTAAACTTTATCGTCTATACTCTATAATCTATAATGTCTAGTATAGTAGAAATCGACTTACAGATGAAACATTAAGTCACCTACTTCGTGTTTCTTCGTCCGAAATAGAAGTCGATTTTGCCGCGTTGTCATTAGAAGCCACACATCCTCAAAACTCTCACTAAACTGCAAATAACTATTTATATTTAAATATTTAATTAAATTATTTTCAATAACGCTTTTTGTATTACCTATGTCCTATTTCATTATAAACAAAATAAATGCTATTTAAAATGTATATTTTGAATGACCTTTTTTTTTTTTTTTGCTTTCTATGCTCTGGCCCGCTATATTTTAAATTTCTAAAAATTGGCCCTATAGTAACTGTGAGTTGCCCATCCCTGCCATAGGGCATAGACCATACCTTAAAAATGCCCTCATCATTATTTTTATTATTTTTTTCTTTTGTTTAACTTGAATATTTGTCATGATTTTGACGTACTTTTTGTTTCGCTAGTAAAGTGAACATTTACCCACTTTCACTGTTTTTTGCTAAAAAATTTAATTGTAATAAGACTTTGTGACTTTCGCCTTGTATGATCATTATTAGTCTTACATTTTTTTTGTGTAAAATACTTTGTGTCACTCTGGTCGTGCAACATATTGACATTATACATCTTGGTTTTTATGTATTTTGCTGTTAATGTAGCACTGCAGTAGCTATTGTAGTTATTGGTTTACTTATTTTCGACAACTTTTCTGATCGCGGAACTGGTGCTAGAGGTGATCGTAAAAGTTTACCAGCAACAATATATTGTGCGTGAAGCCACCCAGGTTGTAGATACAATCAGCTGTGTAAGTCCACCAGCAACATTACGTTGTGTAAGACGGCCGCCAAGGACGTTCAGATTTAGAGACAACCGATAACCCATCCATTTAACTACACCATCGTCTAGTCTTCATTGTAGTTTTTAAAATAACAAATAAATTGTCTCTAATTGTAAATGCGCACTGTGGTCTTTGTGAAAAACCGAACCAACTACAGAAATCCTGCCCCGTAACTAATATGAATCAAAGTCATTACCGTGTATACAAATTTTCACCTCTCCATTGTCGTTTTTGTACACTTAGTTGCCTTACACAAATTCAGGGATGAATGTAAAATTTAATACCCAACAAACAGTAGGAGATACATATTATCATATCAACAATAATTTGAAGAACAATGCATAAATCATTTTTAAACATAACTAATAGTTCTTTGAGTTGTCAATCACTGTATTACGAACATTTTTGATTGTTCAGTACGAATGAGACAAGACAAATCTACATATTTTCAAATATTCTACAGTTTTTGTTGGCTTTCTGACCAAATTTTGTTTTGCTAAATTTTCAACATAGAAATTCTAGAGTCAATACATTATATGGATACAAAAACTCAAGTGACTCGAAAATTGACCTGTATCAGTTTTTAGAATTAGCAAATAATATTTTTTTCACAAATATTACAAATTTCTTTACTTAACCCCCCTTCCCCCATAATTGTGTTCAATAGATTAAAAAAAATATGACAATATTTGAAAATGTGTACCTATCGCTTATTGGTCGGTATTTTACCATCAAATCTGTTTTAATTGAAAAATGAACACACTAAAACATTGAAATTTTTTTTTTTATCGCTCATACAGTTTGATATCAGCGCATGTGCTTCTCGTACGAACGTTTTATACAGATGAAACAGATATATCATATTTAAATTTTCGAGTTTATTGTTATAAACATTAGGACAATGCCTTTTGGTGTACATTAAAATAATACACAACAAAAATCTATAATTTTCTTATTTGTATTAATTGCTTAAGTTACTAATTTTTACGATTCGTATTATTTAACTTACCATACTAGAATTTTTTTAACAATTTTTTTCACTGGACTGATATCACTATTGATACATTACTATCTTCAAATTTTAACTCCCTTAACGTCATTATATGTGTATATTTTTTGTGCAAACCTACTCAACAATAACTATCCAATGATACGTATATTTTTTTCCTACAATGTATATAAGCAGAGTTATTGGTACGTCAAAAAGATGCTTGTGCATTAATATATAGAAATAATGACAGATTGGCTGTTAGAATTTGTAAATCAATATGTTTTTTCTGGAAAATTTTATAAGCTTTATTTTTGTTGCTATAGTGTTCTTAATTTTTTTTACTTTTGTAATAGGCAATATTTATTTTTAATTTCATGTTTTGAAGCAGAATATTTTCAGGAATATTACGATACATAAAAATCGAAATTATGACGAGTCTCTTATAAGTATTTAAGGTTTGGTAAGCGGAATATTATAGTAGATCAACATTTTGCGAAAAATTCCCGTACCACTCTAATTCGCTCAACAAAACTTTAAATATTTATAACTTATAAACTACTTATCCTAATTATGATTGTAATGTATAGAAATACTTCAAACAATATTCTGTTCCAGAGAATGAAATCAAGAATATATTATATTATTGATAAAAAAAATAAAAAACTTAAAAAAATATGACACTAAAAATATTAAAATTATCATTTAAAAAAAAAATATAGTTATATTTCAATTGAATTTTGTAAAAAAAATTTAAAAAAAAACGTATATATATTTTGAAATAATGATTTTTAAAAGAATCATCTCTGTATAGATATAAATATTTAAATTATAATGAATATGCAGGAATGAAAATTATCATAAGCGATACTGACAGTAATAAATTCTACGAAATACGAGTTAGCTGACTCGGAACGAATGAAATACTTAATATAAAATTAATAGTGGAATAATAGCCATCGATAATATGGAGACGTGTCTCATGTGAACATTATAATACGCGTTTACTTACTCCCCGCACCCGCTCGACCTACACTGTTAACTATCATAAAAACGAAAGAAGCAGTGAGAGTATAGAAAACGGAGCATTCTATAATTCTGTTAGTCGTTAGCGCATCGCATTCCTGTGCGTTTGGACTTTGCTTATTTAAATAGCCAACGATTTTAGTGTGGCATAGAATATTTAACTCATCATTAACACATCACTAATATCATACAACCATAATTGTATCTATCATATTATACTATATTAATGATCGTGACGTTATTTTTTAATTACTTTTTTTTATGTTTAGTATCGAGAACTAAGAAGTAAGCTCCGGATATACAATGGACTTAGACGAAATCCTAAGCGACTTTGGATTGGGCACATATCAAGTGACCGTATGCACCTTAATAGGATTTATTCTCATGTACTCAAATATATCACCACTTAGTTACGCCATTTCATCCAGTGATCTTAAATACAGGTAAACTTGAAATAATTTCATCTACTTATACATAGTAATATTATTTAATTTTACATGAACTAAACGAGGTAATTACAAATCATTTTAAAATTAGAACCAACATTAACACATATTGTAAATACTAAATAATCACTTACACGCATAATACGTATATAGTACCCATAGCATTAAATTTATAATATGAATGTTTAATTTTAAAATAATTTGACTTAGTTTGTATTGTATCATATATTATTTTATGTATTTCGTATGTTTGTTGGTTATTTTTTAAAACAATTTTTAATTTATTTATTTTAATGGTTTAAATATCATAATTATATATAGGTACTTATAACAATAAATTATTGATTAATCCTAAATTTATTGTAGATTTTTATGTAAATTCTATTTTAATAGTTTAAAAATTGAAAAGTCTATAAATAAATACGACCAAATAAAAACTTTTAAAATGAAATAATATAATTATTGTTTGATGCTTAATCGTTAATAAATAATAACCATACATATATTTTAATGTTAATATTAGGATAATTTTCTATAGACACAAATATAATAAGGAACAACTATGTCAATAAAATTTAATTATTTTAACTATAGGTATAGGTATTATAGTCTAAAATACATTAATACACCTCATTGTTTAGAATCGAAGTTAAATTTGCGATATCGAATATGCAAATAGACGAGTTACTAAGAACACTTAATAGACCAAATAAAATATGAAATAATTTAAGTGAAAAACTACTTGCAAAAATATATTTTTCTTAGCATGCTTTATTGTGATTTGTGTTATTCTATATTTTTATAAAATTTAACAATGTGATGATTATCATCATTGTATGAACTTTTACAAAAATAGTTTTAATTTAATATTTTGTCGTCGAGTGCATTAAATAGATTATTTTTATTACACTGTACATAATAACTTTGAGGTTATAATAAAATATTGAGTATAAACAATAATTCAAAATATTAACGTTGATTATATTTTAAATTTGAACTATAAAAAAAAATGTTATTTAGTTTCTAGATTAAAACTCAACAATTAATTATATACAGCCCGCAAACGTTAATTCTTCCGGACAGAATGAGCTTTACTCCAGAAACTTCTAATAACTGTTATAATAACCTATTATATTAATAAAATATACTAGAATGTTGTTTTTTTAGAAGGACATAGCACTCGCACGCGTTGTCTCCGTCTTACACATGAACGACATAGTAAATGTTTGTTCACCAGTTTCAATAGTGTGCTTTTAATTTTGATGTTAGAATGATTTGACCTATTGTAGGTTAGATAAGAATATTATCTGTATTCTCTCGTTGGTTTTTTACAATATTTTAATTCTCAAGTGAATTATGAGAATTTTCAAATATTTATATATTTCATTCTTATAGTACTTTATCCAAATATCATTAATTTGTTATTATCTATATTCTACATTCTTACATCCGCTTGTGATTGGTGCTGTTGGTGAACACATTATTATATGCATTGATGTACATAATTATATTTCTTTTAGGTGCGAAATTCCGCAATGTGATACCGACAACCCATCGTACAATGCAGATTGGTTAAACCTGGCGATACCTTTCAACAACAAGTCCAATGAGCCTTACAAATGTCTAAGGTATCACTATATATCACAGGCTACCAACGGGACAAATACCTCTGCCAATAGTACATGTATGCGAGGCGCATTCAATGTCAACCGTAAAGAAAAATGCAACAAATGGGTGTATGAAGAAAAAGAAAGGACAATTGTAAACGATGTGAGTCGGCGGTCATTATTATTTAGTTTTTCGTTACACTTATTTGTCATACTCTTCTAACAATACCCGTTATTTTTTACATAGTTTGGTATTATGTGTGAGGAAAATAAATGGAAACTTAGCATGGTGGGAACCGTCAATAGCATTGGTCAATTCGTCGGCATCCCTTTATCAGGATATATTTCGGACAAGTGAGTGTAACATACGTATCTATAAAATATAAGTAGCAGGGGTTGGTTAACTTGTAGTCCTCATCATACTTAGTCGAGACTTGATTCTTATTTATAAGATCAACATTTTCTTGTTATCATAAATTTTAATTTTATTGATATACATCTATAAAAATTTGTCAAATTATATGAAATGTGTTTAAAAACATATTTTTGGCTCTTGGTATCATTTTTATCTTCGTGACTCAAAAATATATTCGCGTTTTTCACCCCAGATTATAACTTATAGATATTATAATTTATAAACCATACATAAGGTAACTGATACTGTTATTATTAATTTAATATAACTGATTTGTTAATCTAATTTAACAAAATTTTTCTTTATAAAAAAAAAAAAAATTATGATATCACTTTACTTTTTTTCTTCATTTTTTTTTTTTAAACTATTATTAGTATCTACATAATAGATCTAAATCGTAAAATTTTCTAAATTACATTTCACTCGACTGCTATACTTAACGATTGTAAATGGTTCTGCTACAATAATTATGGAAAAACGGTTTACCATATTTTTTTCTTAATTTTATTATAAATTTTCTAAATGAATCAGCTATGAAGTCATCACTTTTCTGTATTATGCGTAATTTATATATATAGCGCATATTAACATCATACACCAAAATCAAATTAATAAATACAAAAGGCTTATCTATAAAAAAAAACTACATGTTTATAGTATTTATATTTTTAATTTATAATTCACTTATAAAAACAAAAATTTTGTTTTTTAACATAAAAATGCACAAGTTTTATTAAAAAAAATTCTATTTTTTTAAAAAATTAGTTTATTTTACAGGTAATATATTAAAATACATACTTTTATTTTTATGTACATAAAGGTATGGACGCAAGTTTATCTCTATAACTGGGACAGTTCTATCGGCTATATTTGGCACAATAAAATCCTTTGCTTTCGATTACTATTCATTTCTCATTTTTGAATTTTTGGATTCCGTGGCTAGCAGTGGAGTGTATGCAGCCACCTTCGTATTAGGTAAGAAATCAAACCTTCGAAGTCACAAATTTATTTAATAAAATAAATATAAATTTTTAATTATTAAATTTTACTAATGTCAAAATTTCTAAAACTATAGTTTGTAAATATATATCACTATATCGGGATTGGGCAACTGGAAGCCAGCGAACCATTTGATCTGGCCCGTGCCACATTTTCTAATTTCATCATACAATTTTAAAGTAAAAATTTCACATTATAAATAAAATAAATGCTAATTAAAATGCATATTTTGAATGACACTTTTTTTTTGCTCCCTATACTCTAGCCCCCTAGATTTTAATTTTCTAAAAATTGGCTCTCTAGTGATTTTGAGTTGCCCATCCCTGATATATTTATAATCGTCACTTATTGTATTTGTAGTTAATTAACTCATCCGCCTATTTGACTTAAACAGGTAGGTTCTGGTTTACATTTTACACGTTATATATGTCTAGGAAAAAATTGTCTATTATACTCACTAATCAGTAATCACTATGCAGATTAATGTTGGAAATGTGTATTTTTAAAGACATTTCCACAATTTTATTCCATTTTCACGATTTTATTGCATATACCTTACGGTTAATACTGTTTCCTCGGCTCGCATAATATCGTGTGTTAAAATTATTGTTTATAACGATTGATCATTTTTCAATTAAATATTGAACCATTTAATAAATTGGTGTAAATAATAATTTTGAATCACATATCAAAAATAAAAACGAATTTGATATATTAACCCAAACTATTAGAGTTTGGTTCAAAAGTCGAACCATGGATATAATTTTATATGAAATGATATAAAGAACGATAACAAAAATAAAATGGAATTATTATTAAGTTTCATCATAACATCAAAATGTTATGTATTTTTAAGTATTAGTTAGAATATTTCTTAAGTTCAATGTTATTTAAATACAAAACTAAGGGTAGGTATAATCAAATTTTTCTTATTTTAATCGAACTGCACCAAGGTAAAAAACATATAATGGTAGAATTGCACTCGAGTAAAAAACAGATAATGTTCGAATTATCTCAAACTCAAGGTATTTTGACAAAAAAATCATGTATTTGAAGGGGCTAAATGTTTAGATAATGTTCATTTATCTATTCACTTACAGGCTTAGCACCAATAACAATTTTAATCATTGGTATGGTAAAAAATAATTTTTTTAAATATATACATATATAATATATATATATATAATTAAATTAATACAGTAGAATCAGAATCTTAGTAATCTGACATATATCAGATCAGAGGACTGTCAAACTAACGAAAACGCGGGATTAATAAAGGTTTTTATAAACTTTAATTTATTTTAATATAAATAAAATAAAATACAGTTGGATTACTGGACGTACCAGATTAGTGAACGGTCGGATTACTGGGAATACTGTAAACATAATATAAGTGTGTTGTAAAATAAATAATAGGTGTAATTTTTTTTGAAAATTTTTTATATTTGTTAATTATTTTTTTTAGAAATTATTAAACACTGAATTCAAAAACTGTAACATAGTAATTCAAATTTGAGCATTTAAGTTTTTAAAATTTTGCTTACTTTTTTTCTTTTTTTAGTTAAAAAGGTAAGCAAAATTTTTTTTTTTTAGTTCTTGTGCAGTATTCTGTATTAAAATATAAGTATCTATTTTTAATTGTATTACAACATCAATGAGTACATATTATTACATATATGTTTGAATAATAGTGTCAAAATATGTCCCTAAGAAATTTTGGTAAAATTGAATGACTAATTTGAAAAGTGATATCTTTAATTTGAATGCACGGAAAATAAAAAATATACTTGTATGTACTATGTACTTACTTGGTGAATTGCGTGGTAAATTATAAATGGAACTATTCACAACTGTTAGTTTTTCGTTCTAAAGAAATTAAAGACGATGCCCATATTTTTGGATTAAATTTTGATGTTTCATTATTATAATTATCACATAGATAATCACAGAATTTTTTTCTGGCGAATCGGGTCTAAATCCAAAAAATTTGCTGAAGTTAATATACCGCGCAATCGAAAGATTTCTTACAGGTAAAAAAGTCATTTTGGCGCAATTATTGGTATACGCCCCATTTATTGAAACCTTTTTTTTTTATACGAGTCCAGTTCTTCAATTATTCGTCTTAAACCCGAGTGTAATTTGACCATCACCTTTTTTTAACCCAAGTGCAATTCGATAATTTATTTCAGATAAAAGATACAATTTGACTATTCCAAAAATTATAAGTTAAATTTGGTTCATGTTTATTAAATTTAAAAATAGGACACGGAGTTTATGAATAAGGTTTAAATTAAACTAATTTTTTTAAAACCCAAGTTTAAATTATCGTTTATAAAAAAATGTGCATTTCAGCTATAGAATTTGTCAGTCCAAAGTCACGAGTTATCGTGAGTACTGTTGTGGGCTGTTTTTATCCTATGGGTGCAGTTATCATGGGCTTTACGGCCTACATGATTCTTGATTGGCGGATAATCATTAGAGTACTCTACTTACCTGGACTACTTGTTTTAGGAGTTGCTTGGTAAGCACGATATTCATTAATTAACACTACGATTGTATACTTATTTACACAAGTCTATTATACATAAACATTTAAACGCATTTGTTTGAATGATATTGTTGTATAGGTACCTGCCCGAGTCTTTACGATGGCTTCAAACCGAAAATCGAGTTGAAGAAGTAGCTAAAGTGTTATCCAAAATTGCTAAATCCAATGGCAAAACACTACCGGACTGCGTCAAAGAAGCACTAATAGTCAACACTAAATCTAAAGGCAATGTAACGGACACGGTAATAATAATTGGTATAATATGTATTATGATTGTTGTGAAGCTTAATTGTATAATAAAATATTTTTTCTAATGCATTTATCTAGCAAAACAAAAACCAAATGTCTTGTAGAAAATTAATGAGAGAAATATTTAGTTCAAAAGATATTTTGATGCGTATAATGAATTGTTCGTTTTGCTGGTAAGTAGGTATATTAATTACATAGGTATTTTACAACATATATATATAACATATATTATGTACATATACATTATATATTATTTAATGCTTTCAAATTTCTTGTTTTGATATGATTAAAATGTATTATATCTTGATGTTAATGTATTTTTATGACTATAGGTTTACGATTACACTAGTTTATTACGGCCTTTCGTTAACTTCTGTGGAGTTGTCCGGTAACAAATACATGAACTTTATGCTTGTTAACATTGTAGAAATTCCGGCTAGCTTAACATTGTGGTATGTCATGGAAAATTTTTCGAGACGAAAGACTCAAGCGTTTTCGTTCTTCTTCAGCGGTATTGGATGTATTATGGTCAATTTAATATCTTCAAGTAAGCATACATTTAATTTTGAATAATTTTCTTTTCCTTTAATTTTGTCAATATGCATTTTATCTTTAATATTCAAACAAATGATACCTACTTATTACTGGTTGAAGCATAACGTAAAAATTAATCTTATCTAAAACGTACAAAAATAAATTTTAAAAATATTATATTTTACCCTAATTAATACGTAAATTAATTAATTTTATTATTTAGCTAAGTTTATTTTTACAATTTATGAACTTTATAATACTTTATTTATTTATTTATAAAAAAATTGGTTTTATATTTAAAACCAACTTTTTATGTTTTGAAATTAGGTAACTTTGTTTTAAAAAGTCATAGATATAATAAATTCCTAATTTAATAATTTTATTTATGTGATTTAGTAGGTAATTATTTTATTTTAAATAAAATTAATGCGTTATAAAAATTAAACTATTCGAAATCGTACACATCGCAATGTGTAGACTGTAGAGTGATCTTAATACATATTATTCTGAAATGTAAATGTAACCTAATGTATCTTTCTACAATTATGCCTAATGGCCTTATAGTTGCTGGGCTTAAAAAGATTAATAAAAAAAAAATAAGCTAGATAATACAAGTCACAAATTGTAAAATCATATTGTAAGAACTTTAATGAAATCCGTACAGTTCAATTCATATAAAAAAAAAATAATAAAATCTCATCGATATGTATAGATACAGTTTTGAATTTGTGCGTAACTTATGCATATATCATACTCAGTGGCGTATGTAATATATTCAATGTTGCATAATTTAAATAATAATTGGTGGATTTAGAGGGGGCAAAGGGGTGCGCAACCTTCAAATTAAATATTATTATAGGCCAAGTTTTTTGCTATTTTTACCTGATAACCTTTTTTTGGTGTCTATGGGCCCCCTCCAAAAAAAAATAAGTTTGTAAATACGCCACTAATTATACTCAAGAGTGGATTTAAAAATTTGTCATCCTTTTCCTAAAAAAATCACTTATACAACAAAATTCCCTTACATAATAATATATTCTATATATTATGCAATTATTTTTCATATAACTTAAGTTTAATAAAAAACATTTTGATTTAAATTTAATATTTTTTTCTTCATTTTTATTATTAAAAATGTTTCCAAGAAAAAAATAATAACAAAAATATTAAGTAATAATATTATTAATAATTAATTAATCATAAAAGTAATTTTAATGTAAATTAATTATTGTGAGATTAAGAATTCAAAAAAAAAAAGTATTCTTTTATGTATGAACAAAATAAATATTAAATACAATTTTGTTACGTATAAAATGTGCAAACATCCAAAAATTAGTCGCCTTAACAACTGCATAGTTCGCAGTGCTTTAAATCTGCCCAGAGGTATCTTCACAATTTTTCCCCCTAGAAAAATATTGGTGGGAAGGAGGGCTGATCAATTTTTAGTTTTTACACACAGTGGTTTACCTAAAAAAAAAAAAAAAAGAAGGTCATCAGATAAAAAAAGCATAGCCCAATAATATCTTTTTTTGCCTGATAATATTTTTCTAGCACAGGGCCCCCTTAACAATTTGGTGTCCAGGTGCAATTGCCCCCCTTTCACTCCTACCTAAATACGGTCCTGAATCCACCTCTGATTTTATTAGTATATAATTACACAAAATTATATATGTTTATATGGCATTTTGAATAAAATCCATGTACCATTAATTTAATATTTATAGATTATACGTGGATGAAACTATTTTTATTCTTGGGAAGTAAATACGCAATCACCATGGCATTTAACGCTATGTATGTGTACACCGCAGAAATGTTCCCTACCGAGCTGCGTATGACTCTGTTTGGTATAACTAGCATGTTTGGTCGATTGGGTGTCATGTTTGCTCCACAGATGACGTTGTTGGTATGCATTAACAATTTTTCGATACCTAAATTAACGAAATATAAAATGCACATAGAACGTCAGAAATAAAAACTTTTTGGATATTTTTTTACAGAGTGCTTACTTTGGACAATACGCGCCGATCTTATTGTTCGGAATCTTATCACTTATAGCTGGGGCATTATCTTTCTTTTTCCCAGAAACAAAAGATAAAAAATTACCCGATACAGTAAAGCAAGCAGAATTTGTTGTAGAACTCTAAGTGAATTAATAATAATTTATATAACAATAATAGTTTAAAAATAAATATTTTAAATAGTTCATAAATTCAACGAAATTACATCATGAGAAATCACATTCGTGCCTCATGAGTCATGACATTAGTAAGTATACTAGTTTTATTTTTCATTACTTACTTTATTATTATAATATTTTAATTACCTTAAATTAAGGACATTTTAATTCATAAACCTTAAGTAACTAAAATAAATCTATATAATTTATAAGTTCATATCATTCTTGTATACGAATTATGTTTGTAATATACAATAAACATACTTTACAATAAATTAGCTACACATATTACAAATTATTACATGAACGAATATTGTGTAATAACTAATAACTAATAGTAAATAATATCTCAACAAAATTCATTTCATTATCATTTCCCATGTGTTCTTTTTTAATAATACTGAAAATTCTGTGTTATTAAATATAAATTAATTATACGATTTTAAAATTTAATAAAATGTTGTTAGTTGTATATTGCTAGATGGTATATAATAAATTATTTATTTTTAATTTAAAATCAAGTGCTAATAGTATACGAATACTGTAAACATAAGTAATTTGCACTGTTATTTTAAGCAATAATTTATAAAACCGGGAATATTTTTTTGAATATCAGAAAGAATATATAAATGTATGAATAACTTAAATAAGTTAAAGACATACATTTTTTTTTTTTTTTTGCTAAAATTGTACAATATAATATAATTGTTTTATTTTAAAAAAAATCATTGTTTATAAATTAAATGTATTAACAATTTGTGTAATAAAAAAATTATTTTACAATTTTTTTTTTATTTATTTATTACAAAAATAAATTTAACTTTAAATTATATATAACTGGTGTCGTTTAATATTTTTGAGAATTCACTTCACACTATTAAGTATAGTAACGTTGTAAATAAAGTAACACACGTCATTATTTTATTACAATTGTTTTTATGTAAGATCTAATAAAAATTTATTTTGATAAGTAATTCTTATGATATTATGTCACGTTATAATTTGAACTTGTTTTGAGTACTGAAAGTTGAAAATAATTTATAATATTATACTATTAATATCTTTAATACGGGCATTTGATAAACAAATATATTTAACTAGCTGATCATTAATTAAATAGCATAGTTTGTGATAGATAAAATACCCCTGGATTATTAACATTAACTGTATACATTTTTAAGTGAAAAGATATTTTATCATTTGTCTTACCGATTATGTACCTGTATTACTTTTTGAAAAACCTAACCGAGGAATAACGTTTTCCATTTTTACTTCCTTTTATGCCTTTTGATTTTTAAGGGAATGAATTTTAGAAAATTCTTTTTAAGTGAGTTATTACTTACTCATTACATAACAAAACGAAACATACTCATAAATTCAGTGATTTCGGCTAGACCATGATGAATCAGCATAATGTATATATATATATACTTGTAGAATGTAGATTTAAAATCGTTATATAATTAAGTTTTCAATGATTTGAATTTCCTTATGAATTTCAAAAAGTCTATTAAATAAATAAATTTTTAATTAACTATTCTTGAAATAAACAGAATATTTCCTTTTAACAAATTGGGTGGAGTGATGTTATTATGTGTTTACTTCGAAAATACTTTAATAATAAAAATAATAATAACTTTGAATTGGTATATTATGTTTATATTTGTTAACTGCAGTAGATTAAATAAAAAAAAAAAAAAAAATACTATACTTTTTATTTTACTATAACCTATGTAGTATTTTTACTTGCTTTTTGAATGTCGATTTTATTACAAAAAATTAAAGAAATAGGTAAGTACACATGAACTATTTTTTGTTGTAACATAATACTTTTGAAAAATTAAATAATTTTATTACAATTTTATTTGAGTAATAAGTAAAGTAACTTATCTAACCGTGCTACTTAATATCCAGCTATAAAAGTGCGCTTATCTAATGACCTTTAGCCGACCCTCATGGTACCGGAAACGATACGTAGACCAAGGTCATAGATTTTGAACACAAAAAATGAATAAAATATCTCTTTTATTATTATTAAATAACTTAAAGTCGATAACTATAACAGCTCGACAATTATACAATCACACAATAAAACATCATATTAAATAAAATGGTAAGATAGGAGAAAGGTATATTATTATGTAATCATCATGTGTAAGTAATAGCTTTATATTTAAATAATAAGTAGGTAATTTAAATAATTTTGAATTGTAGAATATTATACGAATATCAAATAGTGTTGTTTTTTCATATGTCTGTTTGGACTTTAGATTGCTGTGCACAACAATATTAAAAAAAATGGATTATTTCAAAAGTTTAAAACTGTTTGATGGGGTGGAGGGGAGCTAAATTCCGTGATATTACACAATAGACGCGGATCCAAAATTTATTTAGGTGTAGGGAAGAGCATCTCGGGTAATATGTCAATCAGTCTGATAATAATATGTGTAATATACTATGTAAACTAAAAGGTAGATGACATAAATTGTTTTTGTCTTTTTAATTTTGCAAATAACTACATACGTAAAATGTATTGTTTAATTGATTGACGTTTAAGATCATAACTACTGTATGCATATCGTCATCGCATTGTATATCAACTAAATTTTTATTTTTACAAACAAATTATCACTACACGTTAAATATTGTTAATTTTAAATGTAGCACGGAAAGAAAGAGGATACAGACTATTAAGAATAAATTAAATTTTATTGCATTTTCATTTTGCCAATTTAAATATCTATTAATTGTAAATCTGTACAAAATAAAATATCTTTTGATTTATATTTATCATTTATCGCTTGTATTGAGTGATACGCACTATAACCTACAACGCATCTCAAACCCACAGTTAAAATACTTAAACTGAATTTTAGTTTGATAAGTTAACCTGCTTATTACTGTTTGTGAACATAAGTTATGCTGCTCATTTAAAATAAAACCTCTATTAACGTCTGCAACGGGATCAAAAGAGTAAAGATCAAACGAAAATGAACTATAAATGTATACACTTCAACGAGTTTTGTTCGGATTCAATCTTTTAAAATTTGATACCTAAACGATATCCGAAATATGTAATTAGCTAGCAAGTGTATCATCCCGCCAGCATTTGAAGTTGGCAAACACCTTAACGCAGTGCCCTACACGAATGAGACGAATGCAATTTTGTAAATTCCTGGCACCTCCCAAAATATATCTTTTTTTCAAACGGATAGTAAATAGTAGTTAGTCTGTCAGATTACGCTGCGAATTTCAATTGACAGTTGACACACCTATACTGTTGGTGTTATTTATGAAGATGTTAGATGACTTAAGTCGTAAAATTTGGTACTATTATCATTTCAACGTTATCTATAGTTAAAAAAACGTTTAAAAATATTAGTGCTCCAAACCTTGAAAACAAATTTTGTGGATTATTAGTTTTTGAAGTTATATTTCATTATTGTCGTTTGTTTAATGTTAATTATTTTGTGGATACGAATCGACAATTTTCTTATAATTATAGTAATATCGTGTGCGGTAATTGCCAAATTACTAACGTTTATAACAGCGCTTCTTAAACTTTTTTGTCATGGGCACCCCCTAAATTTAATGTGAAACTGTCAAGACCCTCTTAACCAAAGTCATTATTATTATTTCTTAATTATATACTAAAACGACTCTATAGTGTGAGATAAACTTATCTCATTATTATTAAATAACAGTTATCTAACATTAGACTTAATCGACAATAATAAATCATATGGTCGGTTATTTAATAATCAAAAATATTTTTAAAAAATAAAAAAATATTTCACAGCCCACTAATTATATAGGCATGACCTACAGTTTGAGAATCATTGTTTTATAACATATATATAATATACTATATACATATTGTCATTTAGTATATAAAGTTTATATATATATTCAATGATATTGTATACGTGTACACTAATCACTATTGTTGTTGTTGTTATTATTATATGCCATTGAAAATTGATTCATAGTTTCATAGTACTTATCAACTCAGTTACATATTATATTGTATACCAAACACAAATTTTTAATTAGGTACCGTTGTTTATGTGCATTTTATTAAATTTAAGTTAAGTTAAAATGGTTGGCCAGTCTGAACTTCGAAATAATTGTTAAGTTATTATACGTTTTTGTTATCATATAAATGTATACATTGTTAGGCCGTAGATAATAAAATTATTCATTTAGAATTAAGACGAGCTTAATATGGAGGAAGTTAATTTTTTTATGGGCAAACATAAATTACGTGCAACCAAGGGTAAAAATTGTAAATTGCGTACGGTACTTTACAGGTATAAATTGTTATGTAGTAAATTGCAGCCGATATTTTTCAGTATATAAAAGGGGTATAATAAATTACGCCGGTATTTTACAAGTTTATATTTCAATGTAAGGTAAATTTAGCATAACCCAGAGGATACCACGAGGAGATGACTATTACTATCCTTCAAAAAGTTGTTTGTTGCAGTGTGCTTGAAATAAAAAAATTAGTAAATTTATAATTTTCGTAGATTATAATTCATTCTTTTTCTGGCTAAATGCAGTTCGTATATCCATGTTGTAATGTGGTGCGAAGAAAACGTATTAAAATATTAGTAATCGTAATATGTGTAAAGTCATTGCATCGCTAATATAACGATTTTTAACACTTCTGTACTTTTATTAATTATTGGTGTAAAAACCGAACGATAAACGAATAAATTTACAGACATTTTTAAAACAGTTATTGATAACTGTCACTTAGATATCATGAAAAATATTGGGCGCAATTTACTATACCCTTTTTAGATACCGAAATACCGAAAAATGCCAGGTGCAATTTACTAAATTATTTTTACCTCCTGTTCACTGTAGGCGTAATTTACAATCACTCGTTTTTATATCACACACACACATAACACTCAATAATCTTTTTTGGTGAACCCATCAACTGTTCCATTGAATGTGGTGAATAGTAGTGCGATACAAAATATTTCAATGACCAGGCTAATTGCCTAATACTGTCTGTATCTGGTCCATATAACTAAAAAAAAAAAAACCATTATCATTATTCTTTGTTTA